GAGAGAGAGAGAGAGAGAGAGAGAGAGAGAGAGAGAGAGAGAGAGAGAGAGTCAGGAATTCTCTGCTTTGGGTCAAGATTCGTCGGAATGTAGATGTGCTGCAGGGTATGCTGAAATTTTCAGACTCTTCCTACCAATATGTAAATTTTGGGATTTGGAGGGAGCTCCATGTGCCAAATTCACCTGTCTTCTGTAGTGCAAACAAAATAGCCTTTCAGTCTTGCAAAGGTGTGAGATCCAGGGGTGCTGTTTTATAGTCATGCAATGACCAGTCTGAGAATTATGTGGTTTTCTGAGTATTGCTGCGTGATGGTTTGATTTGCTGAGATTTCCATGTTCTGAGTGAGAATGCTGTTTGCTTGCATGTATCTAAGTCCCTATGTGATGATTGCTATTTGGAGTAGTAAGCGTGTTCTCGCCATGTGTTTTCTGTGTACCAGCACGGGGTAGTTCAAAAATAGGGAAACCGCAGGGAGAAGACCGAAATTGGACACTGGACGACAGACAGGGACTTAGTAGAATTTGGCTAGTACCCAGTACGGGTTTTCCAGCAACTCGGGTAGGCCTACCAGTGGGGTCCGATAGGCCTAGAAGGACCCGGTTTCTTCCAGAAATGTCAGGAGTAGTCAGGGCCCGTACCTAGACAGCGGGTAGGTTAGATTCAGGCCCAAGTAGGATTGCAGACATCAACAATGTTTCATTGTTTCCATGAGAACTTCTGGTAGGCCTGGCACACTGGAGAGGCAGTTGTACCACGGTCAAAGGAGGCCAGAGGACGAGCTGCAAGGGTATATCATTGGGGCACATTGAGTGAGGTGACATTTTACCCGACACTCATGCTGCTGCTCGTCCAGAGGGTGAAGATAGGCGGAGCCCCTTTTGAGCGGTTTAGCTGGAGGGTGAGAAAGAAGACCTCCATGGCTATGGAGTAGTAGTAGTAGTAGCAGGGTGTAGGTCTAGGCTATGGAGGTAGGGGGTGAATTGTCCAATGTTAGGCTACAGGGAAGGGTAGTAGAAGGGTGTAGAGGATGAGAGAAGGGGAGAGAGATAGGAACGGACACGGGAGACTCACATTTGGCTATGGTGGACCTTCATCTGTGCTTCCTTGCTTGGCGCTGCATCCAGGAAGCCCCTGTGTGGGGCAGCTGCTGGTCTTGGACTTCATCTGAGAGTGTGGCTATGGCGGGATGACATGGGAAAGGCGGAGTAGTAGTTGCGTTGTCCTGTGAACAGCCGTGATGAACATGGATGGACCACCATAGTTAGAGATGCAACCGCGTGAAGAGGAGTGACGTTATGGCTGAAAGAAGCGCTCTCTTAGAGCTGCCAGTAAGGGGGAATACTCAGAGGTGATACCTGTTCGTTTATTCATTTGTTGTTGTATGTAAGCGATTGTTTGAAGATGATGAGAAGAAGGTGAGAGGGTGGTGAATTGAGCGGGAAGAAATTGGTTCAACGTGTGTAATTCTTCTGCTACTTTTTTTCTTCTTTTCTTTTTTTGTAAACAGGTCCTTATGGTCCTGGCTCCTTGTCCATTCCGGGGAGCGTCAGTTCGGTTCCGATTCCCCTGGCAAGTCGAAATTGAGGTGCATGATGTACACATTCACACTTCTTTCCGTATGGCCAAAGGAACCCTGACCAGCATTGATTGCTCCCTAGGAGGATTGACTGTCGGCTTGCCCCCCCCCCCCCCCCCCCCCCCCCCCCCCCCCCCAACTAATTCCTCTCAGGCACCATGCCGGGGCCTGTGAAATGGAGATCTGCTTAAACCACCAGTACATCCAGCTATCGACCACGGGCCCTTTTCGGAGGCCGCTCGCCGCTGATTCGATTTATCTACGGCGCTGGGCCTGCGAAAGTTTCGTAGGCGACGGGTTTTCTTTTCAGCAAGGCTGGGGCCATGTACTGGCGGTTTAACAAGAATCTTGGGAAGAGCTTCCTTTCCATGATTGTCTCTGCCAGATGGAAAATATCTTCCATACTGTCCCTCTTCATGAGCTTCTGCTGATGTAGAGTCAATAATATCAGCTTAACTGGTAAGTTGTAACCATTTCCATCGCCTTTGTACCTAATGGAAGCAAATGGAATGATGGTGTTTGTGATGATGATGACCAATTGCTGTACTGGTGAATATCCGTCCGTCTGTTTGTCGACATTGTCTGGGGCTCAATGCAGGTTATACTCTTCTGCCATGTTTCTGCATGTATCTTTTGGTTTATTGCTGACCATGAAGATTCTCCCAACAGTTGGATTGTACTCAACTCGTGGGACGACAACGGTGTTCAGAGGCCTCTCACTGAGGCACCGAAAGGTGTTTCCTACCTCGCTGCGTTATACTGGGCCGCCATTACACTGACATCGGTAGGTGTATTACAGTTTGGTGATCCAATCCTGTCTCTTTGATAGGGCAATGATGATTGAGAATCATAAATGACGAGTGGTAATTCACAATTCATGACAGGGAGATAATTATGATGGAGTTAGATGAACTGATTTTGATTGATGAGCATCATGATGCAATTGATGTGAGGACTGACGAAGCCATGGAAGCTGATTGATGTCAATTAATGATATGAATGTGTGGTAACTTGTAAGTTATCGTCCGATCTGGTCTATGGCGTACGTGTGGGACTGCCCTGCCTTGGCTGTGTCCCGACTCCTGATGCTTGGTGGACTGTACGGGTTGCCTTTGGCTGTCTTGCTTCCCCGCTACTTGGCCTTGCTGCTTGCCTTCCCACTTGCCTCCCTTCCTCTCTCATCCCTCTGCCTGCTTGATTGATTGATTGATTGATATTTGCTTAGTTGCCTTGCTGCCTGCCTTGCTTTATTGATATTTGCTTGGTTGGCTTGCTGCCTGCAAATGATGCGACGACTGATGAAGCCGTGGAAGCTGATTGATGACAATTGATGATATGAATGTGGGGTAAGTTATCATCCACTTTGGTCCCTGCCAGACGTGTGGACTGCCCTGTCCTGCCTTGGCTGTGCTCTGATGCTTGATGGTCTGTCTGGTTGCCTTTGGTCGTCTTGCTGCCCGCCTGCTTGGCCCTGCGACTTGCCTCCCTTGCTCTCTCATCCCTCTGCGTGCTTGCTTGGCTGTATTGATATTTGCTCGGTTGTCTTGCTGCCCTTCTCGTTGCCCGCCCACTTGCCTCCCTTGCTCTCTCATCCCTCCGCCTTCCGTGTTGCTTTATTGACATTTGCTTGGTTCTCTCACTGGCCTGCTGCTTGGTTTCTCTGCTTGCCCACCAACTTGCCTCCCTTGCTCTTTCATCCCTCTGGCTGCCTGCTTGCTCTCTTGATGTTTGCTTGGCTGCACTGATATTTGCTTGGTTGTCTTGCTGCCCAGCTGCTTGCCTGCCCAATCTCATCCCTCTGCCTGTCTTGTTGCTTTATTGAAATTTGCTTGGTTGTCTCACGGCCCTGCTGCTTGGTTTTCCTGCTTGCCCGCCAGCTTGCCTCCCTTGCTCTCTCGTCCCTCTGCCTGCCTGCTTGCTCTCTTATGTTTGCTTGGTTGCCTCACTGCCCACCTTTCTGCTTGCTGAACTGTGTGCCTGGCTGTCACTTGCCTTTTTGTTAACCGTCTGACTTGTGCCGCCCATCCACAAACCTGCCCACCAGCTCACCAGCCCGCCTGCCTACCTTTTGCGTCAGTAATGCTTTCATTGCCTTGCTGCTTGTGTTGTCACCCGTCTGGCTGTGCACTCACCACAGGGGTCTGGACTCTGGAGTATATTATGACGCAAAACATCAATATAGGGATTCTGCAAACTCTTGCCTTCTTTTTCGTACTTTCTATTGCCCTTTTATCCATCCCGAGCTCTCGGATTCACACCTCGTGTTGCCTCAGCTGTCCTCTTCCCTCTTACTCAATTGACTGGCTTCCTAACACTGTGTGAAGCCCACAATTAAACCACCAGTACCTCCACGTTCTTAGGCCGTTAATGCGGTGGCTGAATCGGTGCGCCGTGCGGGTCCATATGCATTTGCTTCAGAGCCTGCCCAGATGGGGCCTAAGACCCCCTGGGGTACTGGTGGTTTAAGGGTGCCTTCTTCTGCCTGATTATCTCCTTGGGTTCCTCTAGGCCCTTTCTTGTCTTTGACGGTACTTGCTATGCTCTGTCCATGTTAGAGCTAACACCGTCTGCAATGATTCTCACTCTTTCCCCTGTGAGTTACGTCTCTCTTGCTATCGTTTTCTATTCTAGCTATCTAGCCTGTGTTCTTCTGTTTGCCTTCCAGACCTGTTCCCCACACGTCTGCTTCTCTGCCTGTTTGTATTGTCTCTCAGCACGTCAGTCTGTCAGTCCGACAGTGTTTCAATCTATCTACCGGACAGGGTGTCTTGTCTCTGTGTCTATGCATCAGTCCCTGCTTGTTTGGCCTTCGCTTTGCCTGTCTGTGGGGTCTGTCTCTGTATGCCCGTTCAGTTGACTCTCTACATCAGTGTGTCACTCTATCAGTCTGTCATTCTCTCTCGCTCTGTCGGTCTACAGTCTGCGTGTTCGCCCAATCAGTCTCTGTTAGTCTGTTTTCCATCTGTGTGTCTGTCTAAGTCCGTTTGTCCTCCTATTTCAATCAGCCAGTCTGTCTGTCTGTAAATATTTACTCTTGCCTGTTTGTGTGTCCGTCTATCTTTGTTGATGTCCCTCCATTGTCAGATCTGTCCGGCCCGCCTGCCTACCCTCTTGTCCTTCCCTCCTCCTGCCCGTCCCTCACCTGTCTGGCTCTCCATTCTTCGCTCCGTCTGCCGATCCCTCGATTCAGTCACTCCCTCCTTCTGTCCGTTTATCCATTCCTCCTTCCAACCCTTCATTTGTCTCGCTGTATTAGTCTCAGTGGCGCTGCAAGGAAGACGACAAATGAAGGGTGTGTAAGACCTGCCTGGCTGTGAGATCTGAACCTCCACAAGTTGCTAGTCTACGACGTAATGATTCCAAAACATGAGCTGCCAACCGCCACTGTCACCCTTAAACTCCCATGCTCGACTTGGCTCTTCTTTTTCCCAAATTTGCACTTGCTCATGTTCTTGGGTACCTAGATCCAACTGTAGATTCAGTGTGGACACCGGTGGCCTCTATGTTGACTACTGTCTTAACCCAAGTGAAACGCCCGGTCATTATCGCTGAATTTGGCGCAACCTCTGGTCCAGGTTACACTGGTTCAGTGATAATCACTGGATGCTCTCTTTGGGTGAAGATGGTAGTCCTGGCTTGACGGGTACAGACTTTGCATTCACGGGAGCAGGGGCTCCATGTCCTGTCGAATGAACGTGTCCAGCCTATTGCATCTCGGCTAGCAACTGCAACACAACGACAAAGCCGTGAAAACCAAGCAGTGAAAAGGATGAGTAGGCTGGAAACACTGACAGTGCAAACATAAGCATTGATCCAGTGATCGTAATGGGCAGGCCCATGGCCGCATTGGAAGAATAGACATTACATCACCAGTGGCTTTTACTTCCTCCTTGCTTACACGAAGCTGCACATTTTTGGTGGTCGCCTGGAGGATGAAAAATTATGTCAGTGCTCTTGGGTCTTGGCAGAGATTCTCAAGGTAGTGGTCAATCAAAGCAAACTGTATGGTCTGTAGTGAAATGTATGTTTCTTTGTTGCAGTCCTTTCATGATCAGAAATGACCGGCCTGCTTTTCCTCCTCTTGAGTCTTGAACACATTTCAACACATGTGAGTTCCGCACCCCAAC